CGTTAGATCTTGCTATTTATCTATTCCGTTAGATCTTGCTATTTATCTATTCCATTTCGTTTTATTCGTGCATATGTTTCATATTTTCATTAAACGTTTTATTTTTATTTTAATTCATTCAAAGTTTTTTTTTGAAAATTCATTCAAAACTCAATGAAAATTCATTCAATAATAATTCAAAATTCAATCAAAATTCATACAAAATTCATTCAAAATTTACTCAAAATTCATTGAAATTCATTTAATATTCATTCAAAATTCATTCAATATTCATTTTAAAATTCATTCAATATTCATTCAAAATTCATTCAATATTCATTAAAAATTCATTCAATATTCATTTAAAATTCATTCAATATTTATTCAAAATTCATTCAGTCTCTTGTTAATTCCCCATTCAGAATGCTACATTAAATTATTGTCTCATCAAAACTGTTCTGGCATGTTTATATTGTTTATATTGTTTATATTGTTTATATTGTTTATATTGTTTATATTGTTTATATTTTTTATATTGTTTATATTGTTTATATTGTTTATATTGTTTATATTGTTTATATTGTTTATATTGTTTATATTGTTTATATTGTTTATATTGTTTATATTGTTTATATTGTTTATATTGTTTATATTGTTTATATTGTTTATATTGTTTATATTGTTTATATTGTTTATATTGTTTATATTGTTTATATTGTTTATATTGTTTATATTGTTTATATTGTTTATATTGTTTATATTGTTTATATTGTTTATATTGTTTATATTGTTTATATTGTTTATATTGTTTATATTGTTTATATTGTTTATATTGTTTATATTGTTTATATTGTTTATATTGTTTATATTGTTTATATTGTTTATATTGTTTATATTGTTTATATTGTTTATATTGTTTATATTGTTTATATTGTTTATATTGTTTATATTGTTTATATTGTTTATATTGTTTATATTGTTTATATTGTTTATATTGTTTATATTGTTTATATTGTTTATATTGTTTATATTGTTTATATTGTTTATATTGTTTATATTGTTTATATTGTTTATATTGTTTATATTGTTTATATTGTTTATATTGTTTATATTGTTTATATTGTTTATATTGTTTATATTGTTTATATTGTTTATATTGTTTATATTGTTTATATTGTTTATATTGTTTATATTGTTTATATTGTTTATATTGTTTATATTGTTTATATTGTTTATATTGTTTATATTGTTTATATTGTTTATATTGTTTATATTGTTTATATTGTTTATATTGTTTATATTGTTTATATTGTTTATATTGTTTATATTGTTTATATTGTTTATATTGTTTATATTGTTTATATTGTTTATATTGTTTATATTGTTTATATTGTTTATATTGTTTATATTGTTTATATTGTTTATATTGTTTATATTGTTTATATTGTTTATATTGTTTATATTGTTTATATTGTTTATATTGTTTATATTGTTTATATTGTTTATATTGTTTATATTGTTTATATTGTTTATATTGTTTATATTGTTTATATTGTTTATATTGTTTATATTGTTTATATTGTTTATATTGTTTATATTGTTTATATTGTTTATATTGTTTATATTGTTTATATTGTTTATATTGTTTATATTGTTTANAGGGGGATTAATTTAAATTTATTTTACAAATTTAAAGTGAAGATTTAGAATTTTTTTTAGATAATTTATAAATTTGAATTAAAATTGCTAAGCTAAAAGTACAAAGTTTTGCATTTTATATTTATTGTTTATGATAAAATTCAGATAAATCTAATATGATATGATTATCTCTGGAGGGGGGTTGTAAATCATGCCCCTCTTCCATATTGATGCCCCCCCCCCTTCTACTGTCAGCGGCTCCAGTATCAAGTTTGCATATTTAGAATATTATTTATTACAAATCTTCATGTTGCATATTAAATAGTTCGCTTAACCAACTCTCTAGGTTTAAAGTCTAGACTTAATTTTAATCATTTCTTAGACATAAAGAAATTATTTTTATTTTATTTTTAGTTGAAAACTAAATTTTACGCAAAAAAGGAAAATTATCAAAGCTTCGAAATTGCAAAAAGTATTAAATTGCTAAATTTATAAAAATTGCAATTAAATTTTCAACATTTATCAAATTGCAAATCAAAATTGCAAAATTTATTAAAATCGATTGTAAATCAATTGAAGAGACAACATTAAAAAAAGGTGAAAACTATTGAACACGAAATCTTGTCTGAGACAATCCGATCAGATCAAGATCAGAAATGGTTTTCCATCGAAAATAATAACATTAACAATGGTACATTAAACATGATTGCTCTGGTTTCATTGCTATTTACTATTTTTAACCATCGGATATTTCAGCCATATTTATCTTTCTTTTGATCATTTATTTTCAAAGATATTTTTTTATATTTTTTAAAATTATATTTTAAAAAATTTAAGCTACAACAAAATCGTTTTGTAATTTTTTTCTTAAAAATGCATCTTTTTTACTATTTCCATTCCATGTAGTTACACGCTACTTATAAAAACAGCCTAAAATGGGAAAATAATTTTGCTAATTTTTGTAAATGTTTCGTGCAATTGGTTAGATTTGACCAAAAATTTGAAGTGCATATATTGATCAGATAAAGGGAAGTTTGATCTGTACAATGTGTCAAGAAAAAAAACATCGACAAAAAAAACAACAAAAAACTCAGTGAAAAGATTTTATGGTTGCGTACTCGCCTGAAACTATTACTTTCTTATTTTTATATCTATGCCTGAAGTCATAGACCTTTTACATTTTAAACTATTATTTAAATGTCAAAGTTTGCAACATCAAAGGTTTATAACTATCAAATTTAAGTTTGAAAATAATAATTTGAGGCGAGTAATCAGTTTATATGGTGTGACCCTGTACATTTCATGCATGAATTAAAGTGAGGTATTTATAGAAATAAACGGATATATCTAATTTTAGATACAATACATATGTAATGTTTATGTTTATTGCGTGTAACATCTGCATCATTTGTAAAATTTCTTGTTTTTTTTATGCAAAATGATTGAAAAAAATACCTCGATTAATTTTCACATGCTTGGCAAAGAGCTCGAATACTTTTGACAGTATTAAACAAAATAAAAACTGACACCTTTTTTGTTCTAAAATGATGAAATGATGTTGTTTTTCTTTGTTTTGCATATTTTGATGTTTAAGTAATAATTCCAAATGTTGACCAACCAAAACATCTCTGTTTTTGCCCACGCACCCCTGACACTTTAGTAAAAGTAAATTCAACTTAAAGTCTGACCGCGTCAACCTTGTTGCACCGGCTAGTCCTATTGAGTGTCTGCTTTTTTTACCCAATGTCCGGGCGACACAGTACAAACTGGGACCGGAAAGGTTGACCTGGCTCGGAAATTTAAATGTACTACGGCTGCCTTCCATCAATGCATTTGTGCCTCACTGGCAAACTAACCAATAGAAAAAGGAAAAATTTAATTGACATTCCTGGTACGACTCTGTGACCTTGTTTCTCCTCTTGTTCTGACTTCTGAGAGAGGCAAACTTATTTGGTACAAGATCAACTCCTCCTCAT